GTTGTCCTTACTAAACATATTAACTTAAAAAGATTTCCGTTTTCGGTGAAGTTGTTCAGATTAGGCAAGGCAAATCATTTACATTCATTTCGTGCATTAATTTACATTTATTTGCCTCTAACATTTTTCATCATCAGGATTCCGCAAAATTATGTATGAAATTTTTGTAGGTTTTGATATTAGCTACACAGTTTGTGAATGTTTCAGATCTATATCTTTTACGCATGATTACCTAGAGCGAATAGAAGCAACCATTGTTTTACAGTGAATGTAAATTGAATTCACTGAAAAACAAAAAAAGGTTCTGCCCACTCTAGTTGGTCGTACATAAGACATACAGATTTGAGAGATTGACAAAAGTTGTAGGTAATATCAAAAACTACCAAAACTATGCACATCATTTTACGGAATTTTGCTTATGAAAAAAAAGTTATAGGGTAGGTGTTCCAGTAATAGTGGTGTACCTATAGTTGCGGTATGGAGGTTGTGCCGGAATAGTGAGGAGGACCCGGATAAGATTATTTTTCATCGGTAGTTCTCCTAAAATAAAGCATATTTGCATATTTCAAACATAAAATATGCCCAAAAGTGACGGAAAATAATTAATTTTCCTTAAGAATTTCACTCCTTTGCACTGGGTAGTGTTCCTATAATAGTGGCACCCATAAGAAACCAAAGCATTCCACTATTATAGGGACCAAAGTTAGCAACTACCACAACTACTGGAACAGTGTTCCTATTGATGGAGGACAAGTTTTCTAAAATTGTATGCAATTTTATTACAATGTAATCTTTTCCCATCAAAATAATGTTAAAATGAATGTAAATGATCTGCCATGCCTGGTTCAGATGGACAAGAATTTACTCGACAGGTAGCGCCCTAACTTAACATATGAACTAGATGAAAGGTTTTTAGCTTGGTAGAGTTGTTTAGGTGGAAAATTCTAGACTATTGATGAACAAAAGAAACTGATAGGGGAAATGGTTCTAATGTTAGCCTATGGATCTAAGATTGGGCCCATCGCTAACAGTCTACTATTTATTAATTTTATTTAGATGAACGCGTCATTGGGACGGTACTTATGGATATTTTTGGTCGCTATTGAAAATTTAGTCGATTGCTGAGTTTATGTATGGGCCCAAATTATGGGGCATTTAGGCCGACATTACATCTTTTTCTCATATAAACCGTATCTTATTTTTGAGCGCGACATTGAATTATTTCTTTCTAAATGTGGATGACAGGAATCTTCTGAACAGAGTTGGAAACTAATGGATTATTATTTTCTGATAAAGATTGGTGAAAAGAGTGATATTCTTATTAGTCAAATGTCAAATATAAGCAAAATATATAAACAAAATAAAAATGTTTCAAAATATGAAAGATCCAGGTGATGATGGAATTTTCTATATCCTCATCAAAAAACTCCCAGAGAGTACCTTGTCTTTCTTGGTAAAATTATTTAACAGATGTTTCCATTTGGCATACTTTCCTGATAAATGGAAAAATGCAAAAGTTGTTCCAATTTTGAAACCGGATAAAAATCCAGCTGAAGCTTCTAGCTACCGCCCAATAAGTTTGCTTTCTTCAATAAGTAAACTTTTTGAAAAGATAATTTTGAATAGAATGATACTTCACATCAATACGAACTCAATTTTTGCAGATGAGCAGTTTGGATTTCGCCATGGGCATTCAACTACTCATCAACTCTTAAGAGTTACCAATTTAATTCGTTCAAACAAATCGGAAGGCCACTCAACTGGAGTTGCTCTTCTAGACATAGAAAAAGCATTCGACAGTGTTTGGCATGAAGGTTTGATTGCTAAATTGAAAAAGTTTAATTTTCCACTTTATATTATGAAATTAGTTCAAAATTATTTAACTGACAGAACTCTGCAGGTAAATTATCAAAATTCCAAATCTAATCGCAGGAGTTCCTCAGGGTAGCATTCTTGGGCCTATATTGTATAACATTTTCACTTTGGACCTCCCTGATTTGCCTCAGGGTTGCCACAAATCTTTGTTCGCTGATGACACAGGCATTTCCGCTAAAGGAAGAAGTCTTCGTGTTATTTGCAGCAGACTGCAGAAAAGTATAGATATTTTCTCTTCTTATTTACAAAAATGGAAGATTTCTCCCAACGCTTCCAAAACTCAACTTATAATATTTCCACATAAGCCTAGAGCTTCCTCTTTGAAATCTAGTAGTAGTCACATAGTCACTATGAACGGAGTTCCAATTTCCTGGTCAAACCAAGTGAAATATCTTGGATTAATACTTGACCAAAAATTAACTTTTAAAGATCACATTGAGGGCATTCAAGCCAAATGTAACAAATATATTAAATGTTTGTATCCTCTTATAAACAGGAAATCCAAACTTTGCCTGACGAATAAACTTCTAATATTTAAACAAGTTTTTAGACCGGCCATGCTTTACGCTGTGCCAATATGGTCTTGTTGTTGCACTACCAGGAAAAAAGCACTACAAAGGATTCAGAACAAAGTTCTGAAAATGATTTTGAAGTTGCCTCCCTGGTACAGTACTACTGAGGTACATAGAATTTCGAATGTTGAGACGTTAGAACAAATGTCCAACAAAATAATGAATAATTTCAGGCAAAAATCGTTGCAATCCTCAATTGCAACGATTAATTCCCTTTGTACTTAGATAAGATTTAGTTTTAGTTTTTAGTTTTTAGATTTAAGATATCAATTCTTATACTGACATGCAGGTTTAAAAAACCTGTTTAAAATACACAATTGCCAAGACAGGAACAATGTAAAAATACTTAGATATATATCATAACAATTAAGGTTGGTTACTGTAGTAACTGGAGCACCTAGGTTAAAATGAAATGTAATTTATTTTGAATTTGAAACAAATAAAGAGTTAAAAAATAAACAAAATAAGCTCCATCGATCTCTGGAGAGTGAATTCCAAACTAAAATGATTATCATATAATGAATCATATTGTCAGGCGATGTATATTCAGGCCAAAAAAGTGAACGACAACCCACAGATATCAGTCAAGGACTATGTCGTTCAGTTGTTTTCCCGATTATTATTCTTAAACAAGCTACAATTAAAGAAAAGCAGTATTTTCCCATTAAGTTTAACGCGTTTTTTACCAGTCCCGATAAGGCCAACAAATTCAAATCCAAGAGCAAAAATTTTCTTTGACGAGCTTAATCTCTCAACATGCCCTGTATATTGATGCCACAAAATATGTGACTTCCCTTTCTCAGACTAAAACAAAATATAATACCTAACCCTGAAAAAATGTTGTATCCCTTATTTATGTAATCATATTTTCCATCCAAGGGTGGAGCTTAGCAAGTATTTTTGTCGAAGAATATGTAAAAAAGGAAGGACTCAGGATGTTAATCTAACTGTGTATAGAGATACCACTGACAAACCGACATGAATGACCATAGCAAAAACAATAACATTTCTGACCAAAGCACACTAATGACATCTGGCTCCGGGTTCGCGGGTAATATTTAGCTAAGCCATGAGCCCGCATGCAAATGTTATGAATTGGTTCGGGTCTGATCTATTCTGGACAAATTATTTTCATCTTGATCCAAAAATCCTATGGTTTTGACAGTTCAGATGACTGCACATTTAAATCAACCGTTTACGATTTTCGGGTATAAGTCAGAATTAAGTGTCATGTCGGTTTGTCGGTGGAGATACCACTAGGAACTAAATGTAAGCGTAATTGTCACTATGTCACCAGCATTGACATCTGAAGGAAAGTTAACGAAGAAGCATGATAACCTGATTAATAGTTTAAGTTCATCTTAAAAACTTTGCCAAGAACAGAAACCTTGTATCTAGGTAAGCTGTCAAGTGAATCCAAAATACTCGAAGTAACGTGAAGCAACAGTGCGAACTGGTGAGTAAGTTCTGAGATAAACTGGTCACCATATTTTTTTACTTGATTTGTATTCCGTCGATCTTGTTTTCCGTGCTGAGCACCAATGCTACCAACGCCAGGGAGGCAGCTCCCACATATGGACCCTACCTATCGACCCATCAACTCATGAACCGGGAACCAACGGCTTTATTTCCCTTATGAAGGAAGGCGTGATCAGAGATGTTATGCCTCAGAAAATCTCGGTGGCGCCGACTGGGATTGAACCCAGGCCTGCTGGGGTGAGAGGCAATTACACTTACCACTACACCACAGGCGCCGCTTAACTGGTTACCATAGAATAGGCTTAGTCTATCTGAACAACTTTGCTCAAGACGGGAGGCTTCCATCTAGTCAAGATGTTAAGTAAGGGGAAACAATTCAAAATGAATGTTACACTAGTGCCAACTGGTGAGTAAATTCTCAAACTCACTAGTTTGGGCTTTTCCCTCCAAATAAATAAATAAATAAATTCACTAACCATAGTTTTAAAGACTTTGTATTCTTGAATATATTTGCAGAAGGAAGCAGCATCCTATATTGTTGAGATCTCGTGTTTATTGACATCTCAAACGTCAAAATATGCCGCTTCATGTGTATAATTTTACAATTACCTCTCCCTCCGAGAGATCCGCATCTAAAAAAAAGTATTATAAATAATGTAAACAAAATTTCAACAAAATTTACTTTGCAAATCATTTGAAATCTCAGAAATCCATTGAAATTTCGTTAAGATACGGCAATTACCCCAGGGTACAAACAACGCGGTTATTTTTTTATAATAAATATGCTTTAATGTTTCAAGAGCAGATCTAATCTAATATTATAGAGCTCTGGTAGACGCACCTAGTCACGAAAAATTAAGTAACATCCACGACAAATAAAAAATTTACAGCCAAATTGACCCCAAGGTACAGACGACAAATGGTTAAGCAGATTTTGTATCCTCCTAGATTAATACACCTCTCCTACAAATATCAGATGATTTAAATGGGAGAAATCATTTTAAATAAGGGTTCATCGTAATAATTGGTACAGCAACCCTATCTGGTTCGGTTCGGGATTTCGCTATTTTCCAGCATGTATATCACCTGGACCTAAGTGGTTTCTCAAATATATCATTCACTTGGGCTCAAATTTTCATCACTTGCTTTACAAAATAATATTTTTTCCTTACTTCCACACAGCTTTCATCATAGCTACATGCACATGGGCAGATGAATCAACTCAGCCCGATGATCAACCATTCCGGGGAACTAGAAACGTCGAGTTTGATTGGCAGCTCACAAAGGTTTGATTTTGAAAGTTAACGAAGCTTCTACAATATACATTAAATCAACCCATATCGTCCCAACAGCGCATGTTCAGAATGCAAAAATCCAATGCTGTGATATCGCCCTTCTCGGTGAAAATCCTGCTGGTACTGCTGTACGAAGCCACTGGCGATGGCAGTTTACCAATCCTAACGCAAACCAAGAAGGAACTGCGAAGTATCCTGGAGCCAAGTGGAGATATCGAAGCAACTCGGACCCTGTACCAACAGTGGTTGGATTCGGCACAGGTACTTCATATGTTACGAGCTTATAGTATGCTTAATTTACATCAACTTATTCCGACTTTAAGCTACCCAACGAAGAATTCGATTTGGAGATTGCCAACAATTTATTTGTGGAGGAATACATCGATGTCATCTCAAAGTATCGGATCATTTTGAATTATTACTACAGCGCAACGGTTGACAAAGTTCCATTCTCCAATCCAAAAAAAGCAGCTGATATGATCAATAACTGGGTGAACCAGGCTACCTCTGGACGGATTCCAGAGCTTGTCACTGCTGGTAAAACCATCCAAATTTATAGCTTTGTTTAGATCATTAACAAGTATCATCACTTCTATTATTCTCTAGATAGCGTTGAAGGAGCCGTCATCACCTTGGTCAATGCCATCTACTTCAACGGTGTGTGGACCTATCCGTTTCCTGAGAATGGACCAAGGTTAACTTTCCATGGTAGTCAGAAACAAGTTCAGGCCGAATTCATGGAGCAGAACGGTCAATTCTACTACGACGACTCTGTTACCCTGAATGCTCAGTTGCTTCGATTGTCGTATCGGGGCGGTAAATTTTCCATGTACATTCTGTTGCCACATCAAGGAAGCTCGATCGATGACGTTCTAAATCGCGTAACATCAAGCTCATTGCACACGGCACTTTGGTTCATGGACGAAACCGATGTCAACGTTACGATTCCCAAGTTCAAGTTTGATTTCTCGGAAGAACTGATTCAACCTCTGCGGGACGTAAGTGTAGTTGTATTTAAATCATTTCTTTGCATTTGCTGATTGTAAATATTTATCAGATTGGCATTCGAGAGATCTTCTCCCAAAATGCATCCCTTCCTCTGTTGGCCCGTGGCAAAGGAACCCGAAATAACGTACGAGTATCACGAGTCTTCCAGAAGGTCGGTATTGCCATCAACGAAAAGGGAAGCGAACCGTTCGCTGCTTCTGGTAAGATATTTCAGCCACTATTAAAATGAGCTCGAATTTAATACATTCTAATCTAGACGCAGCAGTGAGTACTGTTCTGGTGAAAAAGTTTGATGGAGATGAACCACAGATCTTCTATGCCAACCGGCCTTTTTTGTTCTTCATCGAAGACGAGGACTTTGGAACGCTGCTCTTCGTCGGCCGGGTGGATGACCCTACCAAGTGAGAACTCAGGCGGGGAAAGATAATTTAAATAGTCAGAATGTACTGGTTGAGTTTTGACTGTATTTGAACCATTTTAATAAATTATATTTAAAAAGACAGCAAGACACGATCTATTAATTCAAACAACTCCTTTTTAAACGATACATTTCCGAAGGATGCTCGTACCGGGCTGTAAATAAATTGCATTTGGATGCCCTTACTAGCACAGTGACATTTGGGTGATTGATATTGTAATGAATTCTATAATTTTGTGTTTCTTTTCATTCTAGTGTTTTGTTCAGAAGGTTTTTATTTAACCGCACTTGATTAAAATACACATTAACATTAGTCATATGAATGCTCATCAGTTTATGACGAATTCAACGATAAGACAATCATCCGAAATTCTAACGCACATTGTTAAAGGGCTCGAGCAATGCTATAATCATTCGACAACATAACCATATCAACAAGGCTATCGAAAACAACTCACAATTGAGTAAAGTTTTACTCAGTATTGTGAAAAATTAGACTATAAATTACTCATCATGACGAACAACCTCATGTACTACTTTTTTAACGATTGCAGATAAACGTATACCCCACAGTCCAGTCCACAACACGCAACTTTATCATTTTTTTTACGTATGATGGAGCAAGTTAGTGATTAGAGCAACATGTAAAAAGTGCCTCTGAGTCAAATGATATGGTATGACATTAAACGTCGATTTCTCGAGGATATAGAAGATCTTGGCGGTGAGGTTTCGTTGTTTCATCAGAACGTTGTCACCCGTATAAACGGTAGTGCGGTTCTAGAATATATTGGGGTTTGAACGGCTATAGTAAAAGTGGGCGGCGATGAAATTCATCGAGACGGAGGGACAAGACAAACAAAAACTAATAGAGAGACAAAAGACAAATGAATTAAGTTATTACCCTAGATATACACAGAAACACATAAATCGACAGCGTATAGCAGAAATCGCGGTTTTCAACACTTTTCTGATAGAAACATAGGGTTGTCTTCCTTGGATCTGAAGAGTATTCAAAAGTCGCTCTCTGGCGGCGTCCAAAAATATTTCTTCTGACCTATATGGCGTGTTTGCCTTGGAATACCAGATAGCAACTCTATCACTTGTAAAATTTTAAGGATATTTTGCTTGACTTTTATTTAAGTGTTAAAGTTTGGATATGTATTTTTTTTTGACATTTAAAATTTAAATGAGTTACACAATTGAGCCTATCAAAAAATGCGCCGGGGTTAGCGCTTCAAATTCAGTGGGGTTGTCAGATATAGGAGATAAAGGTCGTGAATTCAGTGCGGCGGTGATTTGAACTAGAAGCGTGGCGAAGTTGTCGTAGCTTAACTGTTGGAGGCCTCCCATAATCCTCCAAAGTTAGGAGCGCGTGGTGGAATAAACTTCCATTCAATTCCTTGCTGAGAAAGTTCCTTACTGATGACGGTAGAGCTAATCTGGTTATTCAGCAGTTCGTACAGCGCTTTTAGTTCGTTACAGGCCCCTGAGAAGTTTTTGGCATTGTCCGAATGTATTTCAACAGGTCTTCCCCGGTAGCCGATGAACCTTCGCAATACTGAGAGAAAACTAGCGGTAGATAAGTCGCTAGCCAGTTCGAGGTGCATTGCTTTTGTCGAAAAGCATACAAAGACTGCAATATACACTTTCGGGGGGCGGGTCGGCTTAAGATAGAACGGCCCACAATAATCAACGCCAGTTATCTGAAACGGTCGTCCCGGGCGTACGCGACCGGCAGGTAGCTGTCCCATGGGCAGGCTTCCAAAAAGTACAGCCTCCTCGCGACAGTTGGTTTATACCTGAATTGACTGTTGCTTTGTGTGCTTTACTACCGCTTGCTACCGTACGTTCAGATCTGAATTCGAAGTGTATTGGTAACAACTCACGCACGAACGAATGAAAGCTGTATTAGAACAGTCGCATCTATACCCGCTTTGCTAAAATCATCGTGCTTGGAACGTAGTGAACCGAATGAGCTGTATTTATGCATTTCTTTATGACCAGGTTCTCAATGTTTCTGTCTTCATAACAGCCTTCACAAACCGACGACATCCCTCAGCTTACCCAAGTGGCTGTCACGAAAAGGCTGTCACGAGACATTATATACAATTGATATACGGCAGTGGAGTATGGAAGAAACCCAGAAGAATGATCCCGAACAGATATGTCGACCCGATGTCGGATCAATGTAAGGTCAATTGATTGTCGACGTCGGCCAAATGTCGGGTCGATGTCGGGTCAATTCTGTGTTTATGTCAGGTCAATGTCGGGCCAACATCGGGTTGGGGTTTGGTAGAAATCAGGTTGGTGTCAGGTAGGCTTATATTTTTCGCCGGAGACCGTGCGTTTAAAAAAAAAATATCGGATGAAAATTTTGCAATGGGCAGCACGAACGTGATAGCAACCGAACGAGCTCCGGCGCCACACTGGTAGTGTAGTAGCAGTTTTACGACATACAAACAAAATTTCAAAGACAGCAGCAACGAATCGGCAGTTTGACGGACTGCTTGTTGTATGTACGAGGAAAGTTACGAATGACCATCCGAGGCTGTCATAGCCGAACGAACAAAATACATGACTAAGAACAAGCTGTCGTGAACAGCACAAGACGGCAACGTTGCATGTCGTATAACAGCCTCACTGTGGGCTGTCGCTTATAGCTCAATCTCAAGGCTGTCGTAGGAAAAAGAAAGCGACAGCCGTTGGAATACTGTCATGAGGCGGTACTTTTGGTATGCCTGCCCATGGGCTGATGGATAGGCGTTGGATTGGTGCGGAAACAGCGAACGCATTGCCGAAGCACGGTGTTGACAATACGCTTACCATGTATGGGCCAAAACTCTTGACGTATTTCGGACAATGTAAATTGTGGACCGCTATGGACATTCTGGTAGTGGAAGAAGTTTATAACGAGATTCGTTAATGGGTGATGACTTGGCAAAACAGCAGGATGCTTGACCGTATAACCTTCATTTGAGAAACGTAGCCGTCCCCCAACTCTGATGACTCCGCTATTGTCGAGAAAGGGGAATAGTCTCTTGAGGCTAGACTTGCAGTCGACTCGTTTCTGTTGTTGTAGAGCTTTGAGTTCGTCTGGGAATTGTTCAGCCTGTGCGATACGGGTCAGCGTCATCTTCGCTGATTGTATTTCATCAGGTGCAAGAGTGGTCGAGCTTTTTCTATCAGTTGCGACAGTTGTAGGCAAAACGACGACAGTAAGCGACGATTCGAAGTAGAGGAGGCAATGAAGAACGCAAGCTGAACAGCTCGTTGGGTGGTTCCGTTACTGTGACCTTGTGAACAGCCTTGCGAGTTTCCAACAGTTCTTCGGGGATGCTGTAGTCTTCTAAAGAATTGGGCCATGCATCTTCGTTACTACTCAACCATGGGGGTCCTTGTTTCCATAGAAACCAACGCGAGAAACCAAGTCAGCAGGGTTCTCCTTTTCCGCTATATACCGCCAAGAATGTGTGTAAGTGGAGGTTTGAATCGTCGACACTCTGTTAGCCACGAACGTATGTAATGTGTTAGGAGGAGTTCGTAACCAATGTAACACAATCGTACTGTCCGACCAGAAAACCGAACGTACATTTTCCAAGGAGAGAGCCTTAACCACCTTCGAGTGTAGTAGTGCAGCTTCCTTGGCGGCACAAAGTTCAAGTCTTGGTAAGGTCAATCTTTTGAGTGGAGCGACGCGTGATTTTGAAGAAAGCAGCTCGATTCAAACGTTTCCTGCTTCATCCGTCGTCCGTACGTATAAACACGCACCGTAGGCAAGAGTAGAAGCGTCAGCGAAGCAGTGAAACTGAATATCCACCTAATTTGACACGAAAGCAAATCGACTGATTCGTAGTTCCGATATTTTGCCCAACTGTGAGTGGAATGCTTTCCATTTCCTTTCGATGTCGACCGGAACAGGCGTATCCCATCCTGAGTTCAGCAGAGCGAGCTCTTGCATCAGCATTTTTGCCACAACAATCACCGGTGATATCAGTCCCAGCGGATCAAATAGTTTGGCTATAGACGACAGGATGCGTCTTCTCGTCCACGCTTGCTTGCTTGCTGTGATGCCATAGTAGAATCGTAATTGGTCCGTTCCAGGCTCCCAGGTGATTCCCAAGGTTTTCACCTGTTCCTCTGGACTTATTTCGAATGAAATAGATAAATTTGTCCCAAGTTGATCGGCCGGGATTCCAGTCAGAACTTCCGGCCGATTGGAACACCATTTGCGTAAAGGAAATCCACCCTTTTTCATTAGCGTATCAAGGTTCTTTTGAGCTGGATGACCTCGTCTACGCTGGATGCTCCACCGATGTAATCGTCCACATAAAAATCCTTCACTACAGCATTGGCAGCTTCCGGGTATTCCTCTCCTTCATCTGCCGCAAGTTGATGTAGAGCACGAATCGCTAAGAATGACGAAGGTGTCAATCCATAAGTTATCGTTGATAACTCAAAAACTTTAATTGGTTCATCTGGAGAAAATCGGTAGAATATGCCGGTAGCCATACTTGTCGGTACATCTTCTCTACGTCGCCAACAAGTGCTACTTCATACTTCCGGAAACGTAGAAGAAGGCTGAGGAGTTCGTCTTGAATTATAGGGCCTTTCAGTAGCGCATCATTCAAGGAATAAATAACCACTGTCCGTGCTGGCCGAACCATCGAAGACGACGCGTACTTTTGTAGTGGTGCTTGATTCCTTAAGCACTGCATGGTGTGGCAAGTAGTACACCTTTTCGCACTTGTTGCCGCTGCCTCCTTCTGAATTTCATCTCCACTGACTTCTCTCATATGCCCAAGATCCAAATATTCTTGCATGAATGCATTGTACTGCAACCGCATCTCCGGATTCCTCTCCAGTTGCTTTTCCAATCTCTTGAATCGCGTTAGCGCCATTGCGCGAGAGTCGCCCAACATCTGCTCGAAATTCACGTGCTTATGTAGACGTACGACGTACCGACCTTCCTCCGTACGGCTGAATGTTCTCAAGAAATGATCTTCGCTGTCCTGTTCCTCCTTTAACCAAGCCACTCGTTCTTCATTACTCTCGATCTCCCAAAACTTCTGCAACTGTACTTCCAAGTTATCCGGAGTTGCCGCTAAGTAACAGCTTACTGCCTTACTCGGAGCTTCCGAAACCTTCCCCGTGACGATCCAACCGAATACTGAGTTGACCAGCATTGGCAGCCCTGGTCCCAACTTGATCTGTTTCATATCTCTCTCGAACAGGAAACGATAGAAGTGCTCTGCTCCTATCAAGAGATCGATCCGATTGCTTATATTGAAGTTCGGATCAGCCAGCTGAATATCATTAGGAATCTTCCAGTGCGCCACAGGTATGTGTGCCGATGGCAATTCCGACGTAACCTTCTGCAGAACTAGAAATTCCATCCCCATGGAGAAGTCTTGAACTCTGGAGCTAACTGTGGTTTTCACCTGGAATCTCGCTCGCGTTTCCGAATGACCGATCCCGCTAATCGGTAAGTTTATTTTGCGCCGGTTTAGGCTGAGCATCTGACATAACCGCTCGCTCATGATGTTCGCTTGCGATCCGTTGTCGAGCAATGCTCGCGCCAACTGTTTTCCTCGGTGCTGATTGGATTTTGAAACTGTTCAACAAGAGATTATGTATTTAGTGTAATCATAAAGATTGTGGGAATGCAGTTAAAATTTTGCAAAGAATTTCGGGGTGAATATAAAGAGAACTCTAAGGATAGGAATTCCACTTTAAAAAATCAGAAATTCCTGAACCATTCACAGCATTTCTTATAAGTTGTTAGTAGAATTCCTTATTAGTTCCTGGAACTTCAAAAGGTGATTCTGTGGACCACTTAATTTCTGGTGTATATTAAGGCTAATGCCAAGGATGTTCTGAGGTAATGTCCATGTTTGTTCCAGCGAACATTCAAACAAATCAAAATTGAATCATAAAAGTAGAAGAGTCTGCGCCTAGGGGCACGAACGGAAACTTGACGTAGGACTGCATTGGTCGGTGCATTAGTTTTTGGGTTTGATTCTTTTAATTGTTTAAGATCTATAATTTTAACACTATAGTTTTTTAATTGTTACCCAGAAAGGGCTTTTTTGTTATTTTATCTGATATCCCTAAAATGGATTGTTGCAGTGTTAAATAGGGTCCTGAATGATTAGGCACTAATGCTGTCGACCTGCAATCTTGCTGTTGCTAGGATCAGTAATCAAGACAAGTTTGTTATTTTTGTTACTATTCAGATAACTGTTTCAACAAGCTACATACAAAATTGAATGGATATCAACATTAAGGTTCAATTTACTTTGATGCATTTATTAAAAAAAATCAAAAGCAGTTTTTTTCGACGCATTATTTTAGATTGCAAAAAGCTCACGTTATTTTGTGTAAAATATCAAAAGGAATGAAATAGTGCGAGTTTTTTTGCAATCTAAAACAATGCGTCGGAAAAAAACTGATTTTGAAATTTCCCAAACAAGCATCAAAGTAAATTGAACCTTAAGGCATGCAACTTCAAGCTAAGGTAAGGTAAGGCTGTATTCAAAACGCTTAAAACAAAGCACACAATAAAACGAAGTGCACAATTTTGCACCACTTTATTTCAAATTTCGTAAATGATCGTGGATATCTCGCGATCAGAACATTTAAGCTTGAAATCCCTCAAATTAATTAGATTTTAATTCAAAAAATTTGACTAGCCACTATGCTAGTTAAGTACTTGAACTAGTATTTCAGCACAAAAAAATCTCAGAATTAATGATGGAATAGCTCTGAAATACCACATTATCTACATCTTTTATACACCGATTGAGTAAAAATATTTGACTAAATATTGTTTTTTTTTTTTTTTTGATTTTGTGCTTTTTGTGAATCCATCATTTAACATCGGAAAACGGGGTGTTGCTGTAGATTTTTACAATCAACGTTTGAAAATTTGGATTTTTATTTTATGCATTTCTATGTTAAGTTTTAATTTAATGAATCTTTTCATTTCCTTTTGTCTGAATTGAGTGTGTTTTATTCATTTTATCTAATTCTATCAAAAATATCCGAAAAACAGTCCAACGATGTTTTACTTGAAGTGTGTTTCTTTGTCATACAAAATTGGGTTTACTTTTTTGAGTTGTGACCATATTGCATGTTTAAATAGCATGCTAAAGGATAACTAAATTGCATATTTGTATGGGCAACATAGGCACAACTCAACATGTGGCTTAGATGCTACTTTAGTTTTGGTTTTTTTTTTTAAAGCAGCAAAGACATATCTACCTATAACTTTTTTTTTTTTTTTTCAAAATCGGTTTTTTGCTGAATGAAACTCCCTACTATTTGCCGTCAAAATCTCATAAATGAAAAATTTCGACTTGTGACAGTATTGCATTAAACCGACGATTTCAGTACCAAGCACTGAAATTGACTTAAAATGATCTTTATTTCTTGTATTTGTGTGGTTTACATGTTTACATGCAGCAATTTTTTAATGACACAGATGCGTCTTTTCATCTTAGCTCATTTGAAATTTTTAATTATTATTTAAAGTTCCTAGTCCTACCAACACTAAAATTATCAGACGGTACCTTTATTTATGATGTTAGATTAGCATTATAAGTCCCTTATGCTATAGAGTGGCTTGATATGCCCCGCCTCAATTATTATTTCCCTTAGTTTTAGCTGATGGAGGCGGGATTTTTTCTTTTTTTTTATTATTATTTTAGTCACTTTAACGCTCTTGGGTCATTCGTTACTTATCCGGGGGTGAGATTTGAACTCATGACTTTGGCGTGAGAGGTATGAGTGCTAACCACTCCGCCGGGGTCGCCCACTGGAGGTGGGATATAGCTAGCCGTTCGATAGCATAATTATGGTATAGGAGGGGCTAATAATGCTAATCTAAAAGCATAAGTAGAGGTACCGTTCGGATTTTACTGTGCTAAGTACTGAAATCTGTGATAGGGAAATCACTTTTTCCCACCACAAAAACGAACAGGTTTTTATACTAAATGATTGATGTGCGTCGCATGAAATCTTTTAAGCATTTTTGATAATTCTTTTGCTCAATCGGTAGATAAAAGATGCATCGAGAAATTATTGCTTACTCTGATATGGAAACGGAATTTCCGAAAAAAAATTTCAATAGTTGAAGATGCCAAGTTTCATATAACAGATATGGCCATTTATATGATAGATGTGGAGATGAAAGTATATAGTTGATCGTTCCGCTCGAGTACGGCAGTGTGAAAATTGTGTAAAGTAGAATGCGAACAAAAACAACTTTGAGGAAGGTACGAATCGGGATAATCATCTCGCGACATTATTTTTTTATATTTTAACTCTCATGTTATGCTCATCCAAATCGTTTTCTGGTATTTGGTCCATAATTTTGTGTAACTGAGATATTTTCTGTTAGTTGGGAAGGGTATCAAATTTGTCAATGTTAGTACGCTCTCAAATGGGCAGATAATGTTAACTAATTGAGCAGAAAATTAAATTAATAAATCCATAAGGCGAATCAACTGCAACGTATTATCCATGTTTTCCTTGATTTGTTTTCCGTGCTGAGCACCAATGCTACCCAAAATTACCAATGCTGGGGCCTCCCTTAGCTCAGTCGGTAAAGGCGCAGCTACAAAGCAAGACCATGCTGGAGGTGGCTGGGTTCGATTCCCGGTTCGGTCTAGGAATTTTTCGGGTTGGAAAATTTCTCGACTTCCCTGGGCATAGAAGTATGATTGGACTTGCCACACAATCATATCAATGCAAAAATGGTACAGGCATCGAAAACTCTCAATTAATAACTGTGGAAGTGCATCTATAACACTAAGTTGAGAGCACGCAATAAGCTAATATGCGATATGCAATAAGCTTGAAATGCGAAGAAGACGAAGACCAATGCTACCGACGCCAGGGAGGCAGCTCATACAACTGGACCCTACATATCGACCCATCAACTCATGAACCGGGGACCAAAGACTTTACTTACCTTCTGCAGGAAGGCGTGATAAGAGATGTTATGCCTCAGAACATCCCGGCGGCGCCAACTGGGATTGAACCCAGGTCTGCTGGGGTGAGAGCTAATCACGCTTACCACTACACCACCGGCACCGCTGTATTATTCATGTTAAAAAACATAGTTAATGGAAGTAAACGAAATTTTACTACTAATTCTGCTCAATCAATGTACTGCAAATATATCGGGGGCATTTTTTCACAAGGGTTCTGGTCCTTGTAATTCTAAGGAGAGTTTGTAGAAGAGATTTAAAAGAAAGATTTGTGGAGTATTCCTCTGACATTCCCAGAAAAATATCAAGGCAGCTCAAATGAGAATTCAGTAGATACATTTTCGCGAGAATTCCGGAATTAATTAAAATTAATTAGTTTAGAGTGGATTTCAAGAACTACCTGTAAATAATTCGTACAGTTATTGTTAAGAATATAAATGGAATACCAGAGTAATGTATAGCCATCAAATATATTGCATAGTTGGTTGTATGGATATTCATAAAATATATCAAAATAAATATGGAACCCGGTAGCTGACAAGTTTTCAGAATCACAAATACAAACAAAAAATAAAAAATAAGATTCCGAGTCTTATGATTCTCCTAAAATTTTCATACTTAAAACGGTTTTCACATAACACTTCCGAGAAGCTCACAGAACACTGCCATTTCCAAGAAGTTCACATAATTTCCAAGAAGTTCACAGATCTCCAGTGAATTCTGTGGTATCTGGTAGATTTTTTGGCAAATTTTTGGAATTTCCATGAAGTTGCGAAGCTCCAGACAGTTCATGTAATTTCCAAGATGTTCATCGATTTCCAGATTTTTGGAGAAATTTAGTTGAATCAAAATACAAACAGTTTGATTATTGGTTTCATATTAAAGTTAATGGATATTTTCAGTGAAAGCAGCATGGCACACACATCTTGGCCATAATTTCTCCTGAGTGAAGAATTTTCTTAAACTGTTAGCATGAGACATAAGAAAAAAGTAAATGGTTGTATCCAAAACACGACCGTAGATTTGATGTAGGATTACGCCTCATTTTCGGATGAAAAAATTATGCCATTTCGTGCACAAAACGCACGGAATTTTTGATTTATTCAATAGATAAAAAAGAAAATTGAATGGAGGAAATTCGAGATTTTTTTTTTTTTTTTTATTTTTCTAGCGTTCTGGAGATAACCTTACTTATGGTATCATAGCTTAATTTTGATGCTAAGGAATCCAATTTTGACTGACAAATGGACGTGCCTTTGGAAGGTGCTCTAGCTCTTTGAATGGTATAAATAGTGGGACTTTAGACATTCACTCAACTAAGGACACGGGATATACTACAATAGATCAAAGTACTGGTCGCAGATAAGCCTGGTGAGCTGTATGTTGTTTGGAACAAGGGTGACGCGCTT